AGACAATGGTCTACTTTCATTCTTTGCACATAGCCGTCCAGTTTTTCCAACACCATTTATTCAAGAGACTTTCCTTTCTCCATTATATGTTCTTGGCTCCTTTGTTGAAGATTAGCTGTCCAAAGATGTGTGGGTTTATTTCCGGGCTTTCAATACTGTTCCACTGATCTCTGTGTCTGTTTTTCTGCCAGTACCATGCTGTTTTGATTACTATAGCTTTGTAGTATATTGTGAAGTCAGGGAGTGTGACACCTCCTTTGTTCTTTTTTCTCAGGATTGCTTTGGCTAGTCAAGGTCTTTTGTTGTTCCACATAAATTTTAGGATTCTTTGTTCTATTTCCATGAAGAATGTCACTGGGATTCTGACTGGGATTGCACTGAATCTGTAGATTGTTTTAGGTAGTATGGACATTTTAACTGTTTATTCTTCCACTCCATGAGCATGGAACAGCTTTCCATTTCTTTGCGTCTTCTTCAATTTCTTTCATTAATGTCTTACACTTTTCAGTGTATAGGTCTTTCACCTCCTTGGTTAAATTTATTCCTAGGTATTTTATTCTTTTTGTTGGATTATAAATGGAATTGCATTCTTGATTTCTCTTTCTGCTAGTTTGTTATTAGTGTATTGAATCACAATTGATTTTTGTATGTTAATTTTGTCCCCTGCAACTTTACTGTATTTGTTGATTATGTCTAATAGTTTTCTGGTGGATTCTTGAGGGTTTTCTATATACAGAATCATGTCATCTGCAAATAGTGACAGTTTTACTTCTTCCTTTCCAATTTGGATTCTTTTTCTTGCCTAATTACTCTGGCTAAAACATGCAGTATTATGTTGAATAACAGTGGCGAGAGTGGGCATCCTTGTCTTGTTCCTGTTCTCAGAGGAACAGCTTTCAGTTTTTCACTGTTGAGTATGATGTTGGCTGTGCGTCTGTCATATACGTTCTTTATTATGTTGAACTACTTTCCTAGAAGGTATGCATTATTCTTTTTTTTTTTTAAAGATTTTATTTATTTATTTATTTTCCCCCCAAAGCCCCAGTAGATAGTTGTATGTCATAGCTGCACATCCTTCTAGTTGCTGTATGTGGGACGCGGCCTCAGCATGGCCG